GGACGCGTATGTTCTTAAGTCGCCGATTGATTGCCCGCCAAATTAATTTTGGGCTATCGGATTCAAGTTTCGGATTAGTGGTTGCGCGTACTGTTGCGTGATTTGAAGACTGAGGGCTTGTGCCTTGTGAATGATTGCTCGCGGGATGACTGCTCGCGTGTACCGGGAGAATTGCAATAGACCGTTTTTCGGGTTTGCTCGACTATTTATATGGGTAGTTCCTCGTCGGAACTTGTCCTGGAGGGGGTAGGAACGCTAGTCGCTGGGTCGTGGAATCTCTGCGACCCTGGTTCATCCCCCGGAAATTCCGTCAGGTCAACTCAAGTAGCGGGCCCCGTCGCGCGCTCGACGTCGGCTGACCTTTCGGAAATTCCGGGTTTATGGGACCTTATGGCTGTCAAGGAAAACGGCTTATTTACGATGAGCAAAAAGAAAGAAAAAACGTCTGCCTTGTGATTTTATGCCATGTCCAGATGGCATCCGGACAATCTGGACGCCAAATGGTTGTGAAAGTGTCCTTGACTGCAGCCCAACTATGGTCACGTCCGTGTCGTAAACCCGGTCGCAAAGACTCCACGTGTTTGTTCCTTCGCGATGGAACAGGTATTAATTAATAACTTCCCTCAAACCAACCCCATAAAACCAAAGATTGTACAGTTTTTCCTTACTCGTGCCTTTCTGTACATATTACACATATTAATAATTTAGTAAACCAAACTTAGTCATAAGTGTTAAAAGTTGCAATAAGTGCAGTATACATATATAATTATAAGATTAAACCGTGCGTGCTCGGATTTCCGAGCCTTTAGTTTAGACTATAAATTCTAGATTATTGTTACACTTTTTTTCTGCGTTTGAGTTTATTGTATCTTTTGTATATATTGTATTTTTGTTGGCACAATAAACGCATTGTTTAAAAAAAAAAAAGTGGTTAGTATCCTCGCCTGTCACGCGGGAGACCGTGGTTCTATTCCCCGTCGGGGAGAATATTATTTTTTCTTTTTTCTTTTCTTTTC